CTGAAGTAACACAATTCACGCACGAAACAGAGATTTCCATTCAAGTCTATGGAAACAGTTCACACCTTTGCGATATGTTGCACGTTAGAAATCGTCTGTCGCGCAAAAAGGTTCAGGAGCTATTTTCAAGTGGTTGTCACCTGGTTAGGGTCTCATAGACATCTCTATGCATTGAAAACCACGTGACAACCGCACGGTTTTCAAATCAAAATAGCCCACACAAAAACGCGCCACAACTGCTCACCAGCGCAATCGCCTAGGTGCAAACCTAGCCTCAGAGCTGCACTCCATACAATGTTGGAACTGGCGTAGCAAGGTGGGGTATGCAGTAACAACAGTGCATGGCACCATGCAGTAAGAGATTGAAAGAAGAATCATCAGCACTCTATGGAAGGTGAAAAGAGTCTACGTGGTTTATCCACAATGCATCACACAGGTCACATGGCTGCAGCCAACATTTCGGGGCCATGCAGTGTCCCTTCCCCAGGTTGACACTATGCCGCTGTGTTGCCCTGAGGAAGGGACCCTGTGTAGCCCCAAAACATTGGCTGTGGCTATATGACCTATGTGACAAATGTAGATAAACCACTTTGATTATTTTTGCCTTCAAGGGACTGTTGGTGACTCTTCTTGATGGAAGCTGACACTGATGGGGGACATTATATACCTAAATAGGAAAAAAATAGTTATTATCTTTCACTGATCTAAATTCACTAAACTGAAATCTGATTCTGTGTATTTAGTCACTATAGACACATAGTACACAGGGAAAGTAGTACCATACAAACCTATCAGCTGTTTCAGCCTCCATCCAACTGCTGTCATCTAAGCACAGCCACAGTGGCTGGTCACAGAGAAATGTTACATATTATGGGGAGAATTTATCAAAACTGGAGCAGCCAGAATCTGGAACAGTTGCCCATGGCAACCAATCAGCATCTCACTTCAGTTTGCTCAGTTGAGATTTGAAAATGAGAGATATTATTATTATTATACAGGATTTATATAGCGCCAACAGTTTGCGCAGCGCTTTACAATATAAGGAAGACATTACAGTTACAATACAATACAAGATGGTAAGGAGGGCCCTGCCCCTGAGGGCTTACAATCTGAAAGAGGAGGGGGAAATTATACATAAGGAGGGAGCTGTGTGGGGATGAATTATTTGAGAATGTGAAGGTTCAGTGGTTAGGTCGAGGTGGGATAGGCTTCCCTGAAGAGATGAGTCTTTAGGGGACGCCTAAAGGCAGTCAAGGTGGGAGATAGACGAACAGGTTGGAGTAAAGAGTTCCAGGGGATGGGAGAGACTCTAGAGAAGTCCTGGAGGCGAGTATGGGAGGAGTGGACAAGGGAGCTGGAAAGCAGGAGGTCAATGGATGAGCGGAGGGGACGGTTAGGGTAATACTTTGAGACAAGGTCTGAGATATATGCGGGGGCAGAGTTGTGGATGGCTTTATAAGTGACTGTTAATATTTTTAATTTTATCCTCTGGGTAATTGGAAGCCAGTGCAGGGATTGGCAGAGGGAGGTTGCAGACACTGAGCGGTTGGTAAGGTGAATGAGTCTGGCAGCTGCATTCATTATAGACTGAACGGGGGATAGCCTGTGTAGTGGAAGGCCAATGAGGAGGGAGTTGCAATAGTCAAGACGAGATATAACAAGGGAGTGGATAAGTAGTTTAAGATAGAAGATAGAAGCTAGATAGAAGATAGAGATAGATAGATAGATAGATAGATAGATAGATAGATAGATAGATAGATAGATAGATAGATAGATAGATAGATAGAGATAGAAGCTGATTGGTTGCCATGCAAATCTGCTCCAGATTTTGTCTGCTCCAGTTTTGATAAATGTCCCCCCTATGTTTATAACATGGCTTTTGGTCCTCTTTGCAGGCAGTCTACCTTTTTAAATTCCTGCATTTGCCACTGGTGATTGTACTTGGCACATTGTGTTCTTTGCATTAAATGAGGTTCTCCCCATATTAACAGTTAATATAAGTAAGGACTGCCCAAACTCTGCATTTTGCATGAATCCCAGAAGCGCAGCTTGGTGCAGAATTTGGAGACAAGGTTCACAAGAGTAGTTGTGAAGATAAGGACCCCTCTGGTCCCTCCCTTGTCTCTCCAGGGAGCGACTTTTCCTGGGCTTTGCTGCAGTAATGGGCCTATTATAAGAACAGAAAACGAAGCTTTTGATAGAGTGTTTCAGTGACCCCGGGGGACAGCAGCCCATGAATCTGGGGTTTAAATTATTCATCAGCAAACTGTATTTTCCTACAATCCCCCCCCCCCCCCCCCCTCTTTTTTTCTTTCTCGTTTTGTGTTGGGGAGGGTGT